CTTAGCACTTCTGGTTCCACATATCTCCAAAATAGTGTTATTGGAATTGTTGAGCTTTCCATTTCATCCCATGAGCTGACTGCGTTTAGCGGCAAAATGTATACTGTTCGCGTTTGTACCTTTTGTTTAAAACCGCATACATGTGGATAAACGCAATCCTAATATTAGAGAACCATCTATTTTACCCGAAATTACTCTCAAAAATTAATGCATATGAACAAAATTCACATCAACAAGAAAAGCTAGTACACCCAAAACTCTACGCAGAGTGATAAATTAGTTGACTGCACTCGAAATATGCATTCATATTTCAGGCCAATTATAAATAAGTCTCTTTCAGCTAATGTATAAATGCATTAACAGCTGTAGGTTGGGAAATAGAGTAGCTTTCTAGGGGCAATTTCCCACCCTTTTAGGGTCCTATTTATTTACCTGAATCATGTAGGCGGTACAGTTCGTTGGCACATCTCCTAAACCTCCCTGCAGGTCAGCTTTATAACGGACAAAATTCGGAATTGTCCAGATAAAAAGCTATTATGAGTGAATATTAGCTCTTTTCAGGATGCCTACTTTAATCAGGAAGGATGCCAGTTTGCGAAGCTACATTCGTAGTTTCCACGCCTCTGCAATTGCATTCGTCTGCATTTTTTCAAAATTTGCCATGGTGTATTCACATGCAAACAAGTGAATGAATAGATGACTTAGTGGAGTGCACCCAAGGCAAGGCGGATTTCTCGATATGAAATCTTGAATGTGTCACTTACAAACCAACTCAGTGTCTAACTTTGTTTCACCGCTGACCATTGCCAAGTCATGTTATTCTATTTACAACTTGGTGATTCTTCATCAACGTCTTTGAATTAGCGCTTACTTCACTGCTGTCCTCTTTCGCTCTCCATTCATGCATTAGGTAATATGACAAAAAAATGAATAATAAATAAGGGGCTGTGTGACATTAGTCAAATTTGAACATATGCATGAATAGTCCACTTAGAGGCTCCAGACACCTTAATGTTCAATACTAAGGCATTTTCTTAAGTCACTTAGAAAGTGTTACTAAGACAAGTAATGACACTGACCAAGCTACGAAGGTAAATATGCGATGCAAAGACATCCGTTTCTACTATGAGCTTGTCTACTTATATGGCAGATATCGAATATGACTGACAGAGGGTGGTAAACGACGCACTTTATTTTGAGCTGCAGCATATCGCAATGAAACACGAATTAAGGAGGTGTTCATACGAGGAACCAAGAATATTTTGCATTAAAAAGGCATTAACATAATCACTAATTTGCTAAACTCTGTATAGCGTGCAATTAATTCATTCCCTTCAAACATGTCAACTGATTAGATGGGAGCATTCATTCATTCATTCATTCACGTAGCTATTCATCCACGACATCCTTGAGAACTCTGGGCTTCAGTGACACCTTCTCCTACTTCCATCTTGCTCCTCAAGCTCACTTTGCCTTAACAAACGTCCGCATCTACACTTTATCCCTTTCCAACTCACCCTGTTTTTATTCATGCTCGATGCAGCTCCCTCTCAACAACGTACATGTCTAACTATAAATTTGCTTAGAAGAACATTAATTTTTCCTTTACATTGAACAAGTCCCATGTATCTTGAAAATTGATTTGCATGGCTTGCTGCCATTTTCACCCCTTCTTTGTCACTCCTCTCCGTTAGGTCCTCACTGCTATC